AATAACTTAAATAATTTCATGTAAAAGTATTATCTAAATTTAACGATTTCTAATTGTTTAGTTTAATCTTTTTCGACCAAGATTACCTCCCCCTTTCATATTCTATCGCTTATTTTTATTCTTTATAAAAATATCGTTTTCTCGCATGATATTTGTTGCATATTATTAATTGACCTATGATTGATAGGTCATCTTCGGTAGCGAAGCGAATGAAAGCTACTTAAACGTTTGCATAAGCATTGCCACTAAGTTTCTAACTTTTCTAAATAATGTACAGAGAGATAATTTATTAATAATATAGCTTGTTAAAACTAACAGCCCCATCGAGCGACAAATTGAATGCACGATTTATAGAAGATGCATGTCACCCTTTTTCTTCAAGATCTATTTTCAGCAAATCTTCCGTTTAAAATAAAAGGATTTACGTCTAACGCCTATAAACTTGCGACAGCACAGCGATAAAACGAACAATAAGAACGTGAATATGAAACTCGATAAAACACTCACTTTCTTCAGGATGCTTGACGGTGGAGAAGCAGCCGTCCGCCGACAGGTACAGCAGTAACGCGCCGTTCGCCGGTAGCTCCTTGAAGCCACTTGCGAGGAACACTTGTACCTGGCTGTAGGTCGGCCTATACAGCAGGTACTTGTGCGGATTGTCACGTCTCGGCGCGCCGTTCTCCGGGCCAGGATAGGGCCCGGGTCTAAAGGGCATCCGGCCGGCCGGCGAGGCGTCGTGCAGGTGATTCGGGTCGTCTCTGGGCTCCCGCTCGAGTGTCTGCAGCATTCTGAACATGTCCATTGACAACTCACTGAACTTCACCTGATCGGCGCAATTGCCGACTATTAGGATCTCTTGGAGAGATAGGCACATGGGTGGCGATCGTTCGACGGGCGGGCAGGTCTGCGGACCGAGCCTGTGGGTCAGCACGATGGGGTTCGAGTCCGAGTGCAGGACACCGACCGCGGACTCGGCCTTGACGAAGGCCTTGATTTCGTCGAGGACGAGGTTCCACTCGAGCTGATCATCGGGCTCGTAGGTGCTGGTGTAATCGGCTATCTGGGCGTCGAGCTCCTGCACAAGCTCTCGCACAAGCTTCATACGGTTCAGCAGGAGGCAGACGACGATGAAGCGGGCGTAATACCTGAGCTTCTTCACCATCAGATCGCTCCTGTCCTCCTTAGCAGCGCGGCTGTAATAGGCGCGACCGCGTATCGCCGCGTAGAACGAGTAGGCCTCGTGCAGGTAGCTCGTCTCGCTGGTACGTAGATAGTAGTGGTAGTAGAGCTGGCCGATCTTGCTAGCGATCTCGCCGATCTGCCATCTCTTGAGGCCGTACTTCGTGTCCAGTATTGTTCTAAAAACAAAACGAAATTGTACACGTGAGCGTGCTACTTTTATTTTTTAATCATCGAATTACTATATCGAATCTAAAAATTCACTTCTTCTCATATTCTTCTATGTCTACTGTATAGTGTAGATAGTTGAATTAAAATTAAGGTTTTTATTGTCAATGATCTTTTTTACCGTTTTCGAAAAATGCGTGTTTTGGGAACATTGGCGTTTATAACAAAATATATTTTTATAGATTAATTATTACGAGATAATTTAGGAACATATTTTTCTTGAAAGAATATTTGCGAATATGTAATACTTTACAACAAAGTAAAATTAATAATTTTAAATATCTTATATTTATTATAAACTTATATGACACACTTAAAAAATCAGTCGTAATACAATTTACTTTATATCTCCAACAATAAAATAAATGTATACAATAATAGATATATACAACAAATATATAAATATATAAAAATTAATAATAAAATAAATATCAATTATAATACACATATACACACACAAATCGCAACATTCCTAATTAGAAACATTAATAGAGTTCAGAAAGAACGAAGACTAAAAGACTTCTTTTGTTTGCTTCTCTTTCTTGTTCGCTTTATTGAAGATCCGCTTATTACGTACGTATTATACGATAACGTAATTAGCAACGACATGTAATGAAGTAACGACAGAAGCGAGAAAAACAAGTGAAAACTTTTTCCGCCAATATGTAACATTTCAATACGATGCGCGGAAATTGAGTTGTCCTATTGTAAGAATATCAACCAGTTTATGTAAACGGAAATGAGATTCATTCGATCTCATACTAACGCAAACTCATGAGACTGGCTGGCGAACAGATACAAAGTCTAAAGCGCAACACACGAGGACTTGGTCACGTGGACCTCGCCACGCAGACCTTTGTTTCGTCATCGTCATCTGGATCGGTCGTCGTGACACCCGCGAAACGCGATCAAGTATCGTGCTGCGGTATCGCGAATGTCGCGTGCTAAAATTATATATCGCACTCTACATCAAAACGTCAAGAACGATGCCGTACGATATTTTCTACGATGGTCATAATCTTGCGGCATGCCTCGCCGAGCGCCACCACTGTCGTGCCGAATGTGCCTGTTTCTACTCGATCGTGAAAGATCGCGGACGGGCATGGAGGTCATCCGAAGAAATCGACAGAAATCGTTTAATCACACGCATGCAAATTCATGAAATTGAATTAATATGATTTTCCACACTGCAGATATTCGGCACATATTGTTTATCCCCTATCAGTGAATCATTTTAGAAACGTTTATCCCTTGATAAAGTAATTCGAGAAATCGTTACACCAAGTGTGCTCCAAAAGATCAAAGAAACCTCGCTACAAAGTTATGTATTTCCCTCGCTTTTTCACGTATACACAGGCAGATGCATACACGCGCGCACGCTCCCTCTCTTTCTCTCCCTCTCTCCCTTTTTCTTGCCCTTATCTTTATTACTCACCTGTGCTGTTGCTGGAACTTCCACAGCTTCGTGTAGACGTCGAAGGTCCGCCCGAAGTAACCCTGCCACTGCTTATGCCCGTATTGCGGCAGGTCGCGCAGCCCGTTGAACAGCTGCTTGCTCTTCTCGAGCAGGTGACAGAACTCGAGAACGACTTTGCGCTCATGGTCGTCCATGCCAGCCATCATGACCATCTTTTCGGCGAGTCGAGACCGCGGCCGGACGCTGGCTGGACGCCCTTCTCGACGACACGGTCGCGGCGGGCCCGCGTGATGGCGCCTGGCGATTCCGCCACCCTTTTGCACGGCGCCTACGACGACGGCGACCACGGCGACCAATCAATACTTGCCCACCCCGCATCAGGGGGAGCAGCGTGTGCGCCACCACCGCCGCTGCCGACGCCGTCGTGACGCCTAGCGTCGACGTCGACGGCGGAGGCGGCGGCGACGCCAACCGCAGCGACGACGTTCGCGGACATCTGTATGAGCGACGTTGAGGCTTGGGGATGCTCTCGCAAATCGATATTCTCGTTCTAAAAGGTAAAATCTTGGTGGAGGTAACTGCTCCTCTCAAGACTATCGCGTCTAATAGCATATTATAATAATTTGATACTAATATATTGTAGTTGTAACATAGTTGAGTAAAATTATAGCAAACAGTAGAAGATCCCTGGCTTAAATCAGACGCATGACATTTTATTAAATCTACTTAAAGAGCTTATTAATTATTTACTTAGAAAATAATCATGCGTTTTATATATATGAAAAAAGGGTGCGTTTTTAATACAATAGTCTATAATTTCGAAGATATTTAAAAAATTGGAATTGTTAGAAACTTAGTTGTTTGCATTATCCGTGGACAAAATTCTAGTTCTAACTATCCGATCGGTAGACCAACCATTGTTGAGGTTGAGATCGATAAATTTCTACCCCATGGTAATGAATATTGCAGGTAACTGCCTAGAGTTAGTGTGTACACAGTCGGTCTACTTTTACTCTTGTCCAGTCATTACCTACAGCTCTACTGATATATCTTCGAAATGATTATACCATTTATACACTCGAAGCAACAACCAACGGAAGGAATATGAATATTGAGGTGTGAATGCTACAAGAATATTGCAAAGTTGAAGAATTAACGAGAAGATTGCAGATATTACGATCAATTTTTCTCAAAGTTGGTTAATATCTGTATTCATGAAAATAATGATATGATATATGTACATAACTATATATAAAAAATTTTTTCTTTTTAAATATAAAATGTTTTAAATATTAATATAAATAATAAAAGAATATTGATTTTTAATTATTCGAATATAAACCCTTTTTAAAAGATGCTTTAGTGTAAAATTCTTTACTTTGCTTTTATCGTTACATTTCTTGAAAATTAACGTTACGTTTAAATTTTTTTACTGAAGCAAAGTCTATTCCAAATTAACTATTAAACACTTAATTAATTTTTTAATTTTTTCGTCTTTTTTAGAACCATCCAAGGAACCATCTAAAGGAATTAGCTACTTTATAATCATTCTTACTAATCATCTGATGTGAATCTTAAAGGTAATATAAACAAAAAAAATATAATTAAAGCATCCGAATTTCTGATTCAGTTATTTTGCTCGTACAAGCCCGTTTTAGTAATTAAATTACACGGATCATTAAAATCTCAAGATCACATACTTCACGTACTTCATTTGATTGATATCTCTTTTCCATCGTATGAATCTCCGAACTCCCTCGAAAATCTAACTAACTTTCTATACTCGTCCGGACTCTAACGAGGCCTGTCCGTTTTTCTTTCACCGTAATTAAAATTTCCCGACGAAAGGAGGGTAACGCCACGCCAGCGAACGGAGTGCCGGAGAACAGGGGGTGGTTGTGGCCGCTCGACACTTTCGTCGCCGCGGCTCGTTACGGCGGCAGCGACGGTGGGAGTTTTACCGCCCCGCTAGTCGACTACCGTCGTCGGCGGAGATTAATTAACTAGATAACGGTCGGTGACTGGGAAAGAGGGCGAAGAGAGCGGATAAAAAGGGTGAAAAAGAGAGAGAGAAAAAGAGAGTCAAATAGAGCGAGAGAACGATGAGCGAGAGAAACGCTCCGGAGACGAGGGATGGAAAGCATCACTGGGGGGGCGAGAGAACCGCGATGCAACCATGGGAATTCCTGCTAGCAAACCATGGAACCATGGGGCTGGCCGTGATGATGGTAGGTGGCGGCCAGGGGGCCATTTCCAGAGGCCGGACGGTATAGAGTCCGGAGTATATCGACTGTGTCGCCTCATCTACAAGTCAATCAGGCTCGCGTGTCGGCGGCTCGTGAGGCCGGCTGGTACACGTAAGTAAGTAGCCAGGTCTGATGGGCACCTACACGCATCCCCTGTGCGGTACCCGCGCCTAATACGAGGCGCTACCGTCGTCGACAACGGGGCACCTTCGCTCGACGGGTATGCAAGTATAATGCGCTGGCGCATATATAAATGCTTATGGTAATCCGCGCGCGGTCGGCTTGTTTCGATGCTGGCCGGATGTCTGCTAGATAGAACCCGCTCCCTATCGCCCATTGCTATCGGTACGTATGCCACTGCCATAATGGCCCTATGACGTTTTCTTGCGTATCGCGGACCTGCTATTGTTGGCATATCAGCAACTGCAAACGTAAGTGTTTCAAAAATATCTTTACGTAATGGCACAATGGAAGATATTAAGAAATGTAATTCTTTGCTGTCTTACGAAGACAAATATTATTTTACAGATATTGTAAAATAACGTTTCTGATTATATATAGATTCTTTACTTTGAATCTCTTATCTTCTTTCATTTGCGCAATATTTGACGCTTGGCTGAGAAGAGTTAGTGTTAACACAAATTAATTTGAAAGCCGCGATGGGATTATCTAACTGCGTATTAGAATTCGCGAAATTATGAGTCGAGGTGAAACAGTTCGTCCCGATGAGTCAGCTTGCAATCGATGAGCTCGAATCACGGTCGAAGCGATCTGCGCGTCGACATGGTTCGAGTCATGACTCGGCTCAAACGGCCGCCGCTGGCAGCTGGCTGTCTGGGTATAGACAAGTGATCATATCGTGTCGTTAACTGATATTAATAGCAGGGCGCGGTGAGCCACGGGTGGAGACTGCTCTTCCTCTATCTCTCTCTCCCTCCTTGTGCTCCGCTCCTCTGTTCCGCATCGATGTACGCTCGAGCGACCCTTGGCCCTAATTGCAACAAATTAAATCAGGCGATATATCGGTGAATCCCTCGGGTCGAATTTACGTACGTGCGTTACGTACGGAGCGTGCCGCGATTGTGCGTCTTTTCACCGCTGCGGCTCGTCTCGTGTGCATGTTGTTGCTAATTGCACTTCTTTGTATCAAAAGTACAAGCGGCAAACCACTCTGAGTTGAGAACATTTGGAGAATAGCCTTAACAAGCGGTCAACTGCTTATAATTTGCGTGTCCTACATACATACATCTGTCAAAGTTTCAAACTTACTATACATTTGTCGCCTACAAATTTATGACAGAATTTAAAAGCCATCTGGTTTTTAGTAAGAGAAAGAAAAACAAGGAAAATGAGTCAATAATATAAAGATGAAGCATGTATTATAAAATTCATGAAAATTATTTAGAGACATAAGATGATTAAAAATTTTGATATTTCAATTATTTATTTTATATTATACAGCTTTGGCTGTACGAAAACGTTCTAATAAAAAAATATCTAACGAAAGATAAAAAACAGTTTTATTAAAATTAAAAATTAAAAACAATTCTATTAAAAAATAATATTTATTCTTATAACAATTTAATATTTTGTTAGCCCTCTGTTAAGTTTATTTTCCCCAAAAAAGTGTAATAAATTAAGGGTGCCTTATATTTATGGCCAAAGCTATGCATATACAACGCTTGCTGTTTATTCATTAAAGAAGAAAAAAGCTTTTTCAAATAACACTTTTCCAACACTTTTTTTTATTATGTTCCTATAAAATTTTAACAGAAGTTATTAAAATGTTTAATCATACAAAAAGAAATTTATTATATAGACAAGATTCTAAAATCTAAAAGATTATGGCTCTTCACTTGAACAAGTATCGTTAAGGATCTTTCTGAGAATTCTTAATAAACGCCTCCAAGGAAGAAAAGACTAAATTACTCACGTAACGTCAGAAAACCGTTGTAGTAAATCTGTAGCATTTCTAGAGTAATTTATTTTCACGAACACGCGAGAAGAAGATTAACGTGTTACTATTTTATACGCTGGTATCTGGTACTGTTCATCCCGGTGAAATATCGTGACCGAATTCACGAGATACGAAAGAGATTTTTAAGCATGCGAATAAATTCGCGTTCTTTTTAATGTGTTGCTTTAACCTGTTGAATGCGTTGCTGTTCGTGACAAACAGTGATTACATTTACTCTCTTGAGTCAGATTCATTTTTTCTTTTATCATTTCGACGATCACGTTTTGCGCACGATAAACGTATTAACCCCGTTGCGACCTTCCCAGAAGGAATTCGCGATGTTAAGGTCACTGTAAAAAACATCATCGTTTTCCATTCTGTTCTCAGCATTTAATATTTTTCTTACAGTAACAACAAAACATATAAATAATTATTGTAAATATATTGCTAAATATTTCTTATACATATAGGTAATTATTTTGAGTGTAAAGAATAAACAATATATATATATATATTATCGATTAATTCTAAGTTTAAGCAACGTACTCTAAAACACAAATTTCTGTCTTTATTATTATTTAAATCAAATGTAAATTATGCTTGTAATATCTTTTTTTCATTTCCACCTTTCTCCTTCCTTTCATCTTTAATTTAATAATTATTTTTTTATAATTGTTTTTGCATGTGTAGGAATTATAGATGCAGAAATTTCAGAAAGAGATCATTATAAACCAAAGCTTTATAAATCAAATTGACTTTACCTTACATTTGTATATGTCAAATATATATTTCGTTTTATTTACCATATTGCTTTTAATTTAAACTTACGAGGATCACATTTCATTTAAATTATCAATTTTCTTTCGCTTACAATGACCTCATCAATCTATTAATTTTCTATACTTAATTCGCATAAAATATAATGTTATATGATAAGAAGATATCTTTTCGGTCACTATAATAACATAAATATCCATCATATGATTATTGTCTCAGATTCTCGTTTAAAATTTTTGTTTTTAAATTCATTTCAAAACTATTTTTTGTCTTTCGAAAGTCGTGTGTAAAGTACTATGAAGGTATCTAGCTGTATTAAAAAAAGAAGGAGAAAGAACTAGAGATAAAAACAGAAAGAAAAGACAGAGAAAGGAGAGAGCGAGAGAGAGAGAGAGAGAGAGAGAAATAAGGTAAAAAGAACGATCATGGAGACGACTTTTGATATTTCCTGCCCTTACCATTAGCCAAGCAAGACTTGAACGGGATAGGACGGGGTAGAGCGGAGGATGCGAGGAAAGCCTCAGGAAGCTCTAACTCACGGGCAAAGGGGCAACCCACCCCGTTCGACCGAGCCGGCCCCTGCCATTAACATTAACCGAGCACATACAGGGTGTTTGCAATGGCATTATCGATCGGCCTGGGTGAAAAAAGACCAGCGAATCGAGCACTTTGTACGATACGTGCAGGAAACGCCTAGTTTACATTCACGAAAGCCGGCTAAACGCCGATAGACTCGTCCTCGCGGTTATACGCGAACCTCGTGCGTGATAAGCGGTTACCGTTGGTGAAGACATCGCCGAGGACAATATATTTTTCGCAGCATGTACCACATCCAAGTCTAGAGATAGAAATTTTCACAAATATATATTTTGCAGAAAAATGTTTAATTCTAGAACGCGCGATAAAGAATTCCTTTACCGCTTATCAAATGCCAAAAAATGAAAATACTTTTTGGAAGGTAAAAATATAAAAGAGCATATATAATAATATGATACGTCTTCAAAGAAATTATGCAAGATATGTTATCTAATTTATTATTTGAAATATCATCATTTCTATTAAGTATACAAACGACTGTTTCAGAAATAATTTTTTTTATTCAAGACGTATAATATTTTTTAACGACAAACGAAGTTATTGTTGAGCACGAACAAATTGAGCGAAATATTTTATAAAATATTTCTCTAGCGTAACAGTTATAGATAATACAATTATAAATAAAACCCAGAATTAAGAAAAGTCTCAATGTCAAAAAATATAATTACGAAATATAGTTATAAAACACCGATTGTATAACAAAAAGAATTTCAGCAAAGTTCTTTTCTATGTATTTGAAAGCGTTTCGCTTGCGTGGCTCGGACGTGTTGTTGTTTGCAGAAGAATAAAACTATCAGACTTTTACATGACAATGCACTTCGGCTTCGCGCAGATCACGATCAGTCGTATGTACAATGCATTGATGTTTCTCGCACGATTGACATCGCTTCTCGTTCGACGATCGGAAACTTTACGCATGAACGAAGAGGTACGACATTATTCATGGCGGTCATAGGAAGCGGAACAACGGCGATGACCGTCGTTAGGAGTGTCTGAAGTACATGTAAAAATAGCTTGCGATAGAACCGTTTAAACAATCCCGGAATTAATCTTTAATGTAAGTACAAATCTATTCTAATATTAAAGTAAGAAAACTTTTTCAATTTTACAATCAACTTTTCAATATTTCATATAATAGAAGTTTATATTAGAAGTTTAAATACAGTAAAAATGGCGCAATTGGCTAATGATACAAATAATCAATAGATTACTTAATAATAAATTTAATTAACTCAACAGTAAATTTATGTTCATTTCTATTAATGTAAATTAGCTTAGTTTTGATAATTTTCTAGTTCTAAAGAATAGAAATAAGATTTAATGAAAATATAATTTATCATCTAACTTGTACTTTTTATCTTTCATTTTATAAACATTTTTACTATACATATAACATAAGATTAAATTACTAGAAGTAGGATTCAGAAATGTAGAATAAAACAAGGAAAAATCTTTAAGATATAAACTTTATTTTATTTAATTTATATCAAATGTAGAAATATCCGAATTAAAAAATAAATTACAATCTATATTTCTTCAAATGATTTGCAATTATTAACTCAGTCTTATACATACCTTTGTATCGTTAAATTCAAAAAGATAAATTAAGCCTTCTGTTTCCGATGGTTCGTACCCTTCTTTTTTTACTCAGAGTTAACAAATTATGAACGTTATGCATCGTGATGACAGTATTTCATTTTCTTTCTTCTTCTTCAGTAAACATCTTCATTTAACTTCATTATTTTTATCGTATCAACATAGCGGAGGACACGATGGTTTTTAGC